GGGTTTAACAGAGGGGGTAAATGTTTTCCCCCATTGCTCAGGGTTGGCCACAGAGAAACGTGAGGCTTACCAAAGTTTCATGCAGTGTTTTAAGCTCTCTCTCTCTGAAAAAAAAAGCTCATTCTCAAAATCCTTCTGGGGGCAGAAATCCTCAGAAATCTACTTCCTTACTAGAGTTTTTAAATTTTTTAAAGAAGTATTTTGGTGCTAAGTAAAAGCTTCCTCTGACACAGAAGCAAACTGTATGGGAAGAGCACCGTTCAGCTGATCTCTTATCACCTGGAAAAAAACTCAGAGGAAAATAAACCATGCCTTCGGGAGGAGCAAAAAATAATCATATTAATATTAAAAAAAAAACCACTGGAGATGTCAGGTTAAACCTTGTGTCATCCAGATGGTTAAAAAAAGAGCACCAAACACATCAAAGCAAGACCTTAGGAGGAACAAGTGCTCCATCTGGATATGCCTTGACAGACCGACAAACACTAAGATACAGAGATGATAAAACTGGTCACATCAGCTCAGTTTTCCTGGTTTGATTCTGCAGAGGTAGGCCAGAGTTACCTTCTGGCAGCTGTTAGGAAAAATAATAATAATAAGACTTGAACACAAGTCTTGGCATCTATAGTGTTTAACAGAAATGAGCAACTGTGTGGTTGTTGGGTGTTGGGTGTTTTTTTTTTAACCACAGCTCCCAGAATTTGCAGCTGCTTGCAGAATTCTGCGAGCTGTTCTGTGTCCCTCTAGAGTTTAGAATGATGGGAACTTCTGGTCCTCCAGATGTTTCAGGCTATAACTCTGACACCTCTTTACTGTTGCTCATGCTGGCTTTATGGAATCTGGCAACGGGAGTGCAAACCTTCTGAAGGAAAAAGAGGGTTCTCCACCCTGGGTCTGTGAGTCTTTGTGGCATGAGTCACAATCAAGATGCAGTTGGTAGTTTGGGCCATTTCATACTCAGCTACACTCTATTATAATTTATTTGGGATATGCATCTGTTGTCCTCCAGGTATTATGAGACTACAAATCCTAGCAGGTCCAGATAGCATAGCCAATGATTCAGGAATGGGAATCATGGCCCAAAAGCATCCATAGGGCCATGGCTTCTCACCACTGCTTAATTTCTATGTTCTTTCCTTAACAGCAGACAACCAAACACTTTTGAAAGAGCCATTCCCTCTAGTCCGTTTCCACCGTTCAGTAATTTGGGACATACTGCTCTTGAAAGTAGATGATCCATTGAACTATCCTGGTTACTAACCTCTGACTTATTCTCTTGCTATGAGACGACCTTGACTTAACTGAGGTTCAAAAATAACACTTTTAGAGAAATGTATATTTCCTGATACTACTACTTTTCCCTCCAGATAAGCAGTTCCTTCAAAGCTCTGTGCCCAAGCAACCAGCCTTGTAAATGAAGCATGCCTTTGCCCCTTGGTGAACAACCTCAAAGCAAAAGCAAGCTAACTCACACCTTGCAGAGTAAAGCCACTGCCTTCCAGGACAAACGAATATGTTTTTAATTCTTAACGAGACTTTCCTTCTAGCGTCATGAGAATCAGGGTGTCTAGTTTGTTTCTCAGAATTCCCTGGAATTTTTATAGTCAGACGTTAAGAGAAAGAGGAGACCACAGTGATGATTTCAAACAGCCAAATGATTCCACATATATTTAATTTGTCATTTTACAGCTGGGGAGGGAGACACCTGTACAATTTTCTACCTTATATCTCACTTTAAGAGGCTCGGCCTGACATTTTGCAAATTTAGACCTGGATCTTTTTTTTCTTTTTGGTGGGAGTGGGGCATTGGTGGCTCCACCTCAGCTAGCAAAATATCTTGGGCCACCTTTCCTTCTTCAGTTTGTTGAACTGTAAAGTACGGGATCCATTAAGGAATGTACAGCGGGTGGAAAAAAAGCAAAGTAAATATGAGAGACCAAGCTGAATTTAGGGACGCTGCAGAAAAGCAGAAAAGTATCGACAGAGACAACTGCTATGTGAACCGATCAGGTTCCTTGTGATCAAAGCAAATGACCTCTGCTTCTCAAGCACAAAAAAAGGCTGAAAAACTCAAAATCCTGAGGATGGCAAGCATTTTTCAGCCGTAGATGTCCTGGTTCCTGAATGGCAGCCACACGCGATCCTGTCTTCCAGCATATTCAATATTTCAGGCCTCTCTCTCTCTCTCTCTCTCTCTCTCTCTCTGTGTGTGTGTGTGTCCAGGGCAGGAACCTCACACACCTCCCCTTAGTCCCCCACCTTCCTTGAAAGAGAAAGTTAATGGATCACAGGGTACAAGGAGATTCTCCACCCCACCTACTTTCTCCTTTCTCTTGACAATTAAAGGCAACTACCTGGCATTCTCTTTCACCGTCAAAGGCACACAGTGGCAGATCTGTAGCCACAAAAGAGGCGCAGTAAACGAGAAGAACATGTTACTACACTGCATTTTGAGAAAGTTTGGCTCGGAGCTATGCGCTGATTAATATCAGCTCTCCTCCCCGGACTTGCCTCTTGACAATCGAGTCACATCTGGCTGACAAATCCTTACAAGCTTATCCAAACCTAGGCAGTCCCGTTCCTGCCGGGGGACTGGCTGGGAGGCAGCGGCAAGCACCAGCCGCGCACTGATGTGCCATCCGTGAACATAATGAAGCCGGCTTCAAGTGGCAAGCTGCCGGAACAGTCAAAAGAGAGCAGAACATGCCTCCAGGTTTTGCAACGCGCGGCGCACGGCAGAGTGAGCTCAACCGGAGAGGAGAAGGCAAACAATCACCTCTGAAGGTTCCAGCAGCCAAGGAAGCGCATGCTTTTCATTTTACTTTTTTTAAAAAGGGAGATAAAAGATAGAACAAGATCTCGGCCCTTTTAAAAAGACTTCAACGGCAACCTGAACCAAACAGCACCCCAGTGGGTAGCGTGTTGTTTTTTTTTACATATAGTCTCACAATTTCAAATGCCTCCCCTTGCTTTACACAGGCCACCCCATAATACTTCACCAAGATGTAGTACAGCAGGAATAGGGCTTTCCTTCCTTTCTTGTCACTAGAAACAAGTAAAAAGCAAATGCCCCCCCTTTTAAAAAGTCTGTTTTGGCTGCTATAAGAAATTGTTAATGGAAAATGCAAACAAGGGTCTTCGGGGCGCTTTGGAAACAGACCGATTCATTTCAGTCAGTTTTTGGAAACCACAGTCCTCCCCACACACACCTCAGAGACCTGCAGTGAAATATTCAACCATCGATTTACATCGACATGTGGGCTGTGTGGGTGTGGATCCAGTTCAGAGAGAGACAGGCCAAATGAAACAAAACAAAACAACTTTCAAAGTGACCTCTCAAGGGTTTGTGTAGTGTTTTTTTTTCGGGTTTCAGTCAGTTTTTGGAAACCACAGTCCTCCCCACACACACCTCAGAGACCTGCAGTGAAATATTCAACCATCGATTTACATCGACATGTGGGCTGTGTGGGTGTGGATCCAGTTCAGAGAGAGACAGGCCAAATGAAACAAAACAAAACAACTTTCAAAGTGACCTCTCAAGGGTTTGTGCAGTGGTTTTTTTTCGGGTGTGTGTGTGTGTCTTGGAACAAATTTTGATAAAAGTTTCAGATTTACCCAACTGGTGTCTGTTTCATAGATCTCAAGCCCTCTATAGACTCTTCCCCCTCAATAGCTTTTTTCCATGGGTCAGCAACCTATCAACTCCCAATTTGTTTATTTTTTTAAAAAAAGAAGTTACCCAAGTTTTGTTTTGTTTCTTCAAGTCGTGCCAGGCTGGCGTGGGTGGCTGAAAAAAAGATTTGATCTGTTCGAAGAACAGGTCAGGGATCCCCCGGCCACTGCTTTACTCCTGCCAGGGAAGCAGCACAGAATTCAGAGAATGACCCCTTTGGGGGCTCTTTCTGATGGAAAGAAAGCCAACCTCAAAGGCGGGTCCAGTTTTCCTTTTGGAGAGATCGCTTTCTCCTTCTTCACATGTCCAAAAGTACAGGCAACAGAACCAAAACATCTAGAGCATTTATTTATATTAACCCATTTAAAATATTTTTACTCCACCTTTCCCTTTAAAAGGACCCAAATGGGTTGGCATTATTAAAACACAATATTTAAGTGAACAACAGTGTGTATGCAGATACTGAAAAGGATTAAACAAATACCACAGTAAAAAAAACATGAGCGATATCAGAACACATTCAAAGCAGTAAGGTACAGACATCTATTAAGAACCCCCCCACACAAGGACAGCAAAGATGGGGGGAAAGAATCTCTCACAACATTGAAGAAGGGGTGCCACTATATTACAGGGCGCATAGCAAGCGGGCAGAGGGACATGCAGGAGGCATAGCCCAGAATGAATTTCACAAACACACAACTTTTGCAAAACTCCCGTGGTCAGGTCTCCAGTGCATTTGGTCTGACAGAATCATCATAACGCATTTGCTCGGAGCACTTTTCGAAGTCACAAATCATGCATTTTACAGCTACTAATGTATACCCGGGACCTGCACAATTGAACAGAGTCCAGGTCTTTGTGATTTACAGAAGCCACAGCTTCAAGCAAAATCATCATCAGCAGCAGCAACAGCTTGACAGCAAAAGATTTTGTATCAATCGCAGGCACCAGAAGCCATTCCACTTCATTTCAGGGTGCGTTTTGTCCCAAAGGCCAAGCACGGTGTGAGTTTGCCTTGCAATTCAAAAACACACTTACTTGGAAGTAAGGTGATCCGAGTAAACATGGTTAGATAGGGCTACTCACCTCACCAATCATTCTAGAATGCGTAGTTGCATTTAAATAAAAGAAACTGAGGTTTGAAAACTAGAATCTGTTTGCAGTAGGGTCCGGTTTAATTTCTTTCTTTCTTTTTTTCGGCTCGCTTCGGACAATCAAACGGTGAGGAGAAATGCAAAACCTGAAGCATTTTCCCCCAAGCCAGAAGGAGGAAGGCGGAAGACCGTTTTGCAGGCACAAAATGCAGAAAGAACTGAACTTTCCTTACCTCCGACATTTCTTCTTAGGCTGCAGCCTGCCTTAGGAGAGCCGGAGGAGAGTTTCCCATCCCCTCTGCTGGGCTGGGGAGTTGTACAAAGAAGAACCAGGAAACATGCCTGCCTGTACAAGTAACGAAAGGCAGAATCATCACACACACACACATACACAGACAGACAGACACACACGCCTGGGTCTGTTTTACCCTCCTCTGGAGCAGCACAGGCACCTCTGCATGCTGGGTGTACACTCACCTCGGAGCACCAGGGAGGGAGGGAAGATTTCTCCCCACCTCCTGATGTGTGGTTCTCCAGAGAGTCCAAGTTGAGTAACTCTCTCTCCCTCTCTCTCTCTGTCTCTCTCTCTCACCTCTCCAGGATGCTCTTACCTCTGGGCTCCAGAGGGGAGTGTCGTCGGCATGCCCCTCCGCTCACAGGACAGACCCTCGCAGTGAGCTGGAAGAGGGCATGACACTCATCTTTCACACAGGGTTGATCAAAAGCAGCCGGAGCGACCCGGAGGCTCGCCTGATGTAAAGCCAGGCTCTACCTCTCCTCCGGCTGCCTTTAAGGAGGCATTAAATCAATGAAGCTCACCCAAGGCCCGTCTGTCCGTCCATCCGCCTCCTCTCTTTTCATGGCAGTGTGTGTGTGGGTGTGGGGGTCCCTTCCCAAGAATATCAGCAACTATCTGCAAGGAAAGCTCAGAGGATTTTATGCTTAGGAAAGGCAGGAAGGGGAATCACCCATGATGATGATGATGATGATGATGCAGAAGTGTGCACAGAGCCATGGGTTTCCTTCTTGAGCTCCCAAAGGCATCCTTCGGCTTCTTTTTCAATGTGAAATACAGATTTATTTATATCTACCTTTTGGAAAAAACGGACGCAAGATGTTGATCAAATTTGCAAATCACAGAACGGAATAAAATTGGGAGGGAGCTAAGCAAGGAAGAGTTACAGGTCAAAATGAGACCTCGACGAAATATGATAACGGAGGCATGTCAGAAATACTTTCTAAGATTCTTCAGAGCAGGCAGTGTTTAAAAAGCCGGCTCCATATTGGTTAAACCATGAGAAACTGCAGCAAAGAGCTGCGGTCCTTAAGAGAAATCCGATGTGTTCCTAAAAGAGCATTCTAAGTCGTAATGTGATTTTCAAATGCAAGGATGGTGCTCCGGACTGGAGCACATGCTTTCCAGGCAGGCAATCCTAGCTGGGTCCTTTACATCTCAAGGTAAGGTGTCCAAAAAAACTGGGGTGTGTGTGTGGTTTTGCTGCCACTCATTGGCAATACCAAATTAGAGTTGCCAACTGGATTCCCCTCCCTGAGACTTCAGGGCCAAAACCTGGCATCAGGGGCCTTAGGGTGGACCTTTGTAATGTTCCAGAGACAGGACAGGTAAGAATTGGGGTGGCTCAGCTACACTGCCACCTACAGGGTTAAAGGAGGAAGAAGTCTCGTGAGTCACAATGCTGGTGCTCCACTCCTTGCCTTACTCTGAATGACGCAACAGGTCTGATAGAAGCAGACCATAAAAGCCAGGTGTAAGGAGAGTGGACTAGGGAGTTAGCAGGTGTGTGGACTTAGGCTTATCATGGTATCTGGCGTAAGAGACACACCAATATCTGCATTCTGAGACAGATCCAACATTAGAGAGTGGAGCATGGCACTCAAGCTTTAAAGTCAGTTCACGTAGAAAAATCTATCTGTCCCTTTCTCTAGTTGTTCTGAGACTGGTCTCTTTGTCCAGAAACCCAGAGAACCTGGAACCAGAGTCAGAATGGCAGGGGTCTATGGGAATTGTAGTCCTAAACATTTGAAGGCATCAAACTGCCTCCCTCTTCTGTAAGTGAAGGCCACAGAATGGCTCATGTCAGATTCTGTGGCCTGGCCAGACTTTGGTGGTTTCAGCACAAGGCTGGTCTGCTTCAGTAGACTGTGAGCTAGCAGCGACAGCTGGTGCCTGTTTTGGTTCCTGCAGCAGAAGACCGGACACAGGTAGACAAAGCCAGGGCGATCGTCAGAGTTGGAGCAAAAGCAAATAGTCACAGACTCGTGCCTAATCCCAATGCAGGTGCACAAAACTAGTGCTTCCCCCCCTCTCCATCTACAAACAGTCAAAAAGTAAACACAAAAGGGAAAGTGTACGGATCAAAAAGATACAAACAACCCATTGCAGGCTCCTTTTGCATGGCAGTTTTTCTCCAGGCTCCAGACACACTTCCATGTTTCCCTGAATCCACTCTATCTGGTCTGATGGCAGAACCCGCAATTGTCCCGAGGATGCTTTTGCTGAGATACCTGACTGGACACTGTTAGAAGCCAAGCACTGAACATTTGGACTTCATCCGCCGGCTTGCTTTTTCCGCGCAAAGCTGATAGCCTGGAAAACCCACATTGCAACGGAGTGCCTTCCTTCTGCACCTGGGAGTTCACCAGGTTCCCCTGCTGACTGGATATTGAGTTGTGCATTCATTATGGTAATTTGAATTTGCTCAGCTTCATAGCCAAATGACTAGTTCATGTCATAGTGGATTACAAGGTCTTGCCAAGTTCATCTCCTTGAGTTCCTGGCTGTTAGATGAACTCATGTTTGTTTGTTTGTTTTAAAAAAATAAGCCAGGGTGTCCTGATTAAGAAAATACATTGTCAAGAACCTGTTGCATTTTCCGATAAAAATTCGAACTGGTAGGGACGGATTTCTCTTTGTTAGTATTTAGTACTATAAACCTATTAAAATCATGCACAGCATAACAGAAGAACTGTTTTACGTGCCTTTTATAGTAGAATTTCCCCCCCAGAAACTGGCACACTTTGGTTTTTCCTTTATGCTACTGTTACCAAGACATCTTTCGCATGCTCCTTAATTCTGATCATCAGAGATTAGCTGTGTTTGGAAAACAGGGCTTGGAAGGAACGCATTAGAAGCAATAACGCTACGTAACAAGAACCCTACAAAAGTCTTAACATAAAGAGAGAGAGCAACAGCTGATAATGTTGTTACCTTTTGCTTGAAGAGTAAAATTTGCTTCCCTCCTCTCCCCTGCAACCTATTGGGAGAGGTAAAATGCTCTGGAGCTGTTTTTCCGACCATTTAATATCCTCCTTCACCACCCCACAAAACCAAAAGCTAATGTAAAGGTAATGAGCGCTGTAATTAGTAGCACAGCAAGGCAACAAGACCCCTGACAGACAGGACTTGCGACTTATATTGCAAATTACTTTGAAGGATGAACTTTTAAAAATTCTAGCTGAGAAGTCTCATCTTATCTCAAAAGAAGGGACGAGAAGCAGGGAGCCGTGGTTCCCAACCTTGGGTCTCCAGAGGTTCCTCGACCACAGCGCCTGGAGAGCCTGGCCAGTGGTGAAGGCTGCTGGGAGTTTTAGTCCAAGAAGACCTGGAGACCCAAGGTTTGGAACCATGGGTCTAGTGGATTATTTTAAGGTTTTTCCTGTGTCTGATTATCTCCATAATCAGAAGCAAGGGCATCAGCTTGCAGACTGAGGTCCTACCAGTCTAGCAGTTGTGTGTAACATGGTTCCAACGATATCTCAGTATGTTCAAGACCAGCCACAATGGCATAGATACAGGTTTAACTTCAGGGCAGCAGAGGCTTCAGCAGCAGCAACTTCACGTCCTGCTCATTTGGACCCCCTTGTGGCATTTCTCAGGGAGTCTTCACCTATTTTATGGCCAGTCCACAGCTCGGCAGGTATTTCATCCTGGTGGCGTAACACGCTGCGTGAGTCATACTTTGTCAATGAACGGTGGCAAGGTTCCTTTTGTTTTCCAGGGAAGCGTTTTAGACTGTTGCAACAATGACTAAACAAGAAATAGTAGCAAGCCAATAAGAACCGGAAAAAAAAGAGTATTCTCCTAGCTTTAAAAAAAGCTGTTGCGTGTCATAACATCCTGTTTGGGGTTTTCCTCCTCGCTCTCCAGAACAGAACAATGCACCAATGATTTAGAGCTATTTTTGTGAATTATGAAAAATAAAACAATGCCATGGGTGCAATTTACATTCGGGATGGAGAAGGTTTTCCTCCTCGCTCTCCAGAACAGAACAATGCACCAATGATTTAGAGCTATTTTTGTGAATTATGAAAAAAAAGAAACCAACGCTATGGGTGCAATTTATATTCGGGATGGAGAAGATGTTGCGATCCAGATCATTACAGACTACAAGTCCTATGGTTCTGCAGGCTGTGATCGAAGACCAAGCAGTCGTAAGATCGAATCCACGCGACGGAGTGAGCGCCCGTTGCTTGTCCCAGCTCCCGCCAACCTAGTGGTTCGAAAACATGCAAATGCAAGTAGATAAATAGGGACCACCTCGGTGGGAAGGTAACGGCGTTCCGTGTCTAAGTCGCACTGGCCATGTGACCACGGAAGATGGTCTTCGGACAAACACTGGCTCTATGGCTTGGAAACGGGGATGAGCACCGCCCCCTAGAGTCGGACACGACTGGACAAAAATTGTCAAGGGGAACCTTTACCTTTACCTATGGAGAAGATGTTGCTATCCAGATCATTACAGACTACAATTCCTATGGTTCTGCACTGTTGGCTGTGATCAGATGGTGAGAACAGGGCACTTCTGACTGCACCCGAAAGGGACCCCCTTTGCTGGGAGCTACCCCACATAAAGGGACCCCTTCGTCCACTGGGGAATGGGTCCAGCCCACCCGCAAAAGGAGTGTCCCTACAGCTGAATGAAAAAGGTCCAAGTTGGGAAAGGATCGGGGTTGGGCAGGAATGTGTCATTCCCAGTCCATTGTGTGACTCCCTAGGAGATTGCTCACACTGGACAGCACCACAAGTGGTCCAAACAGTGCGCGATAACCCCGTGCGTTCACGTCTTCCGTTGCCTCCGACAACGTGGCTGCCTGCAAAAACCACAGTTTGCTTCTGCGCAAGATATTTAAAGCAGGAACGACTTGCAGACTCTTATTTCTGATCACTGATCAGAGATGACAAGCCTACGTGCCTCCCCGACCGTGGGTAAGTTCAGCCCATGCACCAGAGGTCCCCTATCCGGTACAAGGGCAGCGAAGCTGTAAAGCTGACGTTCCCAACCGGTGGTCTCCAGATGCTCTTGGACTACAACTCCCAGAAGCCTTCACCGCTAGCTGTCTTGGCCAGGATTCCTGGGAGTTGCAGTCCAAGAACATCTGGGGGACCAAGCTTGGGAACCACTGTTTTAGATGAACTCACCATCCCTTTGCAGGGTCCTGGGTTTAGACCTTATGTTACCCTCTGCCTAAGACCCAGGAGGACCTGTTTTGAGGAGGGGGGCGCGTTTTACTCCTCTGCCTCTCTTGCCACTGGGATGGCAAAGTTCAATCAAGATTCAAGACGAGTGGAGGCAGAGGAACATATAAAATGCAAAATTAATGGCTGCAGCCAGGCACTGCTGTGCAATCCTTTTTGCCATC